TTTCCGAGGGTGAAATATACCGGATGTCCCGTAACACGCCCATCGTTGCTCAGGTTCGTCCCGTCGCTGTACAGAATGCACGCTGCAATCACGCCACCCCTCGGGCATTCCTCTTGCATCTTAATCCATCCATCTCCTGTCTCGGGCCCCGCGTATATCCGTTGTTTCTTGTCGGACGTGTAAACCGCTGCCGGTTTCACCACAAAGCCGTCTTTGTTCGCGCTATCCGAATACATCGCCTTCAAAGCCTCCACCATGGAGCTTACGTGCACTGTGACTTTCATGCCGTTGCTCAACACCACCTCCACCGCTCTCCATTCCACCGTGCCCGTAGATTCCGCCAGTAAGGCCTTCTCATACCTCGCCAAGCCTGCGCTGTTCTTGTATGATGGCTTCAAGTAGCCGGCCTCATGCAACACGCCTAGTAACGTGTTAATGTCCGTTGCCGACATCCCCATGCCTCCATTGAACCCACGGATCGCTTTTGCCAAAGCCAGGTCAGTGTCGAATGGAAGTTTCTGTGGAGTAGAGTCTGCAGTAGCATCCATTGATGAGAACTCGATGTTGTCGTCGTCGCCATCGCTATCGGGCGATGTCGGAAACTCAAACGGGGGGGTGTTAACGCCGGTTTGCGCAGAAGGTGCTCCACTAGTGGTGGTCAAAGGCGGACATGCTGCTCCACGTGGCGCAATCCGTGCACGCAGCAGCCGGTTCACATCATTCTCACGTTTACGCTTTAGCCCTTCTAGTATCCTTGCATTGGCACTATCCGAAGCATGAGGACTATGTCTACACACTTGCTTGTGATTTATCAAACCCTGGCCAGTAGTGCAGATGAATCCACAGCCACATATAAAGTCCATTATGATGGTAGTGTATACAAGGATCTACTGCATCCTCTGGTGCAAGAGTGGTGAACAAATCTAGAGATCTAGCCTGCATGCAAGCAATTAACAAGCCATGCCTAAAATACTTGGAAGGTCTTGAACATGTTCCCCTGGACCTGCATGCATCGACCACAGTTGTCAAACGGCTCTGGCGCTCAGTGGCAAGAGGGGGCCAATCAAAGACTCTAAACTAAAAATGGGCAACATTAACAAAAAAAAAAAAAGTACTGACCCTACTGGACCCTCAGGCCGCATCACTTTCGCGCCCTATAGCACGCGTCGGCACGAGGCGCTTCCGACGGGGCATCGACGAAGTCGCAGGTATGTTTCCACGGTCCCTAATATCAAGCTATTCATGAAGGACTGGTATATTTTCGCGGGCCGTGATCTGCCTTAACAACCGGAACGCACACCCTACGTTCGTGCAAGCCGCGCGTAGCATGGGTCGACTGGCTTCGTTAAATTAAAAAAAAAGTGGGCGGGATTGAGTAGAAAGGGGCGGCTCCAGCGGGACGGCGGGTTTTAAGGGCGACGCCATGGCGGGGAAGGAAACTTAACTCAAGTTGTGAGGGGGGAAATAATGGAGTTGGAGTGGGCCGTTATACGGGAACCTGTACCTATTACAAAGTTGCGTCACCACCCGAAACCGCCTAGTACCCCCTTGCAAACCTTCACCCCTCTGCTCGACAAAGCCAAACCGTTGGTGCGATTTTCGCACGTGAGGGCTGCGACTCCGGCGAACTAAGTTCCCGGACGATCTGTCGCGCATAAAATTTGAGCCGTCCGAACGGCTTCCCTAGCTGGTTACCGTTAGTACTAGTCGCTAACGGTTGTTGTCTTGGTAACCCACTCGTGTACTCTTTGTTAGTGTGATTTTATATTGTAGCAAATACGAATAACTCGATGAGGATATTTAGACAAGAAATCCAAATTGTAAATCACGAATTAGCACAGGTACAGACTGCTTCAATTAATTAGTCGAGTAACACGTCAATAATTTGTTTGCAACCTTTCATTCTATTCTAGTGATTGTCTAAATATATGAACCGGAAGCAGAACTTACAACACTTACAACTGCTGGAGAATTTTAGAATGATGTAAAAATAATATAGAGTACAGTGAAGTTCGACCATCAAGCAAGAATAATGAACCCCTCCACACCGTAATTAACCGCGTTGATTCCGTCACTCAAACCGCCAGGGATTTGGGCAGATTGCCCGGAAACTGATCGGTGGCAACACGTTTCGGAAATCGGGTAACTGCGGAACATTAGTGGCAGCTCGGAAACAGTGGGCAATCAGAAAAAAACACCACATGCAAACTGCTGGAACACGATATCGCCGATCCAACCACGGGCTGTTTCCCAGTACACACCAGCATAGTTGCGATGGACGGTGTGGCGGCGGGATGGGAGGGAATGGTAACGGCGGGGTAGGAGGGAGGTGCGACGGGATAAGAGGGAGAGGCGACGGTTGGGTGTTCGTAAAACGCGATAGCTGGATGATTGGCAGAGAGAGCAGGCACAGGAGGAATTCGAGGGAACCAGGTATGACAGACTTCGAATTGACAGCTGGGAAGGGAAAGAGCAGAGTAGAGCAGGTGCTCAAATTCAAGAAACCTAGTCAGCGGAGAATTCGAGTTGACAGCGAAAGAAAAAGGAAGGATCTGTGGCGCTGGCAATGAAACATTTGCTACCCGGTGTATATCTCAAATACCAAAAGTGGTTGGGAAGTGTGGCGCTGGCAGGAATGTTTTGCAAAACGAGGCAAGAAACGGTTTTTAAAATGAGCGTCCAGTACTAGGCTGATGGGGCGAATTGCGAGCTAGTCGCGGGCGAATTGCAAGCAGAATTCGTAAGCGAAAGAGGAGGGGTAGGACGATGAGGCGAATTGCACGCTGGATTCGAGGGCGAATTTCAACAGAACCTGGGCACATGACAAACCAAACAAAAAAAACCCACACACTACAAGAGTATCACGTGACAACACACGCATAACCACTCCATCCACCTGACACATCAGAGTTGGCTGCAAATAAACAAACCCACTAATGGTACTTCTATATTGCATAGCAAATATAATATCAATCCCTAGATCGTTCCCCTTAAACTAGCACTCAATCGCAAGAGAGAAGAATGTTATTCGCAATTTTTGTAAGGACCAAAGAAGCCCGCTATATAAAGAAATAGCATAGTTTATCGCTTCATTTAAAATATAGTGCATTTTCTGACATATTAATACTGGAATAAAAACGCATAAGCAACCCGTACGACGCTGAACGTCGAGTCTTGTTTTTGTCTCGCAGGTGCTGTGTGTGGGGTGCCAAGAAGTGGAATAAAAACGGTGGTTGAAATATTCGGCCATACTTCCCCTACTAAAACTTATGTATCTGCAAGTATTGCATCAACCCATCTGAATGTGATACGACGCACGCTAGCGTCCAACTGGATCGCGAGAGAATACAACTATCGCTATCTGTCGTAATTTTCATTTATCGTTTCCATCCGGTCCTATCCCATTGCACTCGTCGCAGGCAAACAAGATCCAGCGGCGGCAAACCCCGCAGCATGGGCGCAGCAGCAGCAGCTCCCCCCGTCCGACCGCCTGCACACGGCGGTGCTTCCCAAAAGCGGAAGCCTGCAGGGCGGTGGCACGGCGACGGACGGCGGAAAGAAGGGGGCGGCAGCGGAGCTGGCGCAAGTGGACCTGCGCGCGCTGAGCCACGCGCAGCGGGAGCGGCTGGTGGAGCGCGCGCTGGAGACGCTCGATCAGGACAACGAGGCGTTCCTTACGAAGCTTAAAGCCCGCCTCGACCGGTGAGGTTCTCTACGAGGCCGGCTGAGCATCGCCGCCGCGGAACCGCGGGCGGCAAGACGTTGGAAGACAGTCGGGAGATCGCTGGGAAAGCCTGGAGCCGAGCCGCATGGCTCCTTTCTTGTGAGAAATTGCGTTGACGGGTTGCATCGAGATGTCATGAGGGGAATGTAAGGTGTGATCAACGTTACTGTTTCAGAGAAAGTACGGGATGCGGTTTTGAATGCGCTTTGCTGTGCGTAGTCTAACCTTCCCTCCTTCCTCCCCCCCCCCTTCGCATCCTTTCCGCTCTCATCCCTCCCTCCTCCTAAACCTGCGCCGCGGAATGTCATCCAATGGCGAGCAGCGTGGGGCTGAGCGTGCCGGCGGTGGAGGTGCGCTTCGAGGACGTGCATGTCGAGGCGGGCGTGTATGTCGGCACGCGCGCGCTGCCCACGCTCCTCAACTTCACGCGCAACTCGCTCGCCGTGAGTCTAGCTCGCCGCGAATCGCATTCGCGCGCCGTGAATCGCACTCGCCGTGAGTCGCGCTCGCCGTGAGCCGCCTCTCTCGTATTTCCCGATCGCCTGCGCGCATTCGCACTTCACTCCCTGGTCCCCCAATGTCGCTCTTTCGTTTTAATAATCCTTCTTCGCCTTGGATCTTCCTCTTCCCCCTCACCCACCCCCCACCCTCCCGAAACCTCCCCCCCCGGGTTCCTCCTCAGGCCGCGCTGCACTCACTGGGCGTGGAGTTGGATGCGCGCCGCCCGTATCCGATCCTGCACGGGTGCTCGGGCGTGCTGCGGCCGGGCCGTATGACGCTGCTGCTGGGGCCGCCAGGCGCCGGCAAGTCAACGCTCTTGCAGGCGCTCGCGGGCTGCCCCGATAAGTCGCTCAAGGTGCGTCTTTGTATCGGAGATTTGACTGAAGGCTTCATCGCGCAAAGGAATTGGCACAAATTTGGTCGCCGACGATCTCCCTTCTAGAAAGTGTCCAGAAAACCACAAAAAGCTTCAGAAAATAGAGTGAGTCTGGGCCTATGTCGGAAGTTACGCGTTTAACGTATTATACGCGGCCTGAAGTTCGCATGTCCGGGCAGAGAAAACGTTTTCCCGGGAAGGGGGGGACATTTCTCCCAGGGGAAATGCGGGATGAAGGTGGTCCCTTTTCTGACTACGTCCTGCCTTCGCGTAACCTAAGGTCCCTACGGCGGGTGGCGAAGCAGGTGGAGCAGACATCGGTGCTAGTGGATTGTGGGAACTTGAGGAAAGTGGGATTGAAAGCAAGAAATGATGACTAGGGTTGGGCTGGCTGGTAAGTAGCGCGAGAATTGCTGAGACCGCGTTTTGACGGGTTGGAGCTGGTAGATGGAGTGGGATTCAATGCGATACAGTTGTTACTTTGTCAGCAGAAAACTTCGAAGCCACATTTCGACCACGTGCTAGACAGCCGATTTGCATTTCTAGTTCAGCGAAACGCTTAGCGGGAAACCCGTGTCATTATTACATTTGCGTTCTCTTTTTACTTGACAGCCCAATTTTTTTTCGTGTGTATGGGATATATCCGCGCTATACGCTTGGGGGCCCGAGCGTAAAGGCCAACGAAGGTCTGGGTGACCTCCAATGAGGCTTTAAACCCTTTGTGCTTCTCCTCCTCCTACCTTTCCCTTCCCTCCTCCCCCTCCTTTTCCCTCTATCACAGGTATCTGGCAGCGTGACCTATAACGGGCATGCTCTTAACGAGTTCGTACCAGAGCGCACAGCAGTGTACGTGCCGCAGAACGACGAGCACATCGGCGAGATGACCGTCCGGGAGACCCTCGACTTCTCCGCGCGCCTGCAGGGCCCGGGGCTCAGGAAAGGTGCGCGTGTGCTCCTGTTGGGAGGGGGAAGAATGGTGGGCTTCTGGATGGGTGGGTTGCGCTGGGGTTTAGGTTAGGGGGGTTGTGCAGACTCCCCTGCGTGCCTGCAGGGTCCGGGCCTGCCAAAATGTGCGTGGGAAAGAGGGTTCTTCTTTGTGTTTGAGTCCATTTCCCATTTCCGCTGGCCTTTTCTCTCTATTTCTTCCACTAATACTCTCACGGTTTCACCCCACTCAGCTATCCCCGTAGCCTCCATTCCCTCTCTCCGTCCACCCCCCCCTCTCCTCAACATTCCCCCTTCTCTATCCCGTTCACCCCCGCACCCCCTGGTGGCGCAGACCTAGTGGCGGAGCTGGAGAGGCGCGAGGTGGAGCAGGGCATTGTACCGGACCCTACTATGGACGCCGTCATGAAGGTGAGGTGCTATCATGGCAGCATGAAGGTGAGGTGCTGTCATGGCAGCATGAAGGTGAGGTGCTGTCATGGCAGCATGAAGGTGAGGTGCTGTCACGGCAGCATGAAGGTGGGGTGCTGTCATGGCAGCATGAAGGTGAGGTGCTGTCATGGCAGCATGAAGGTGAGGTGCTGTCATGGCAGCATGAAGGTGGGTTGTGTGTTCGTTTGCTGTTGAGCGTATGGTGCTGTGATATCGGGTGAACATTTCGGCGTGTGTGGGAATTCACTCTGTTGATATTCTGCTTGCCTGCCTTCACCCCTGGTGCTCCACATGCCACGTGTCTTCCATCCATTGCTGTCCATATCACTATTAATCCTCCATGCTACTCCGGCCCCCATTTCACCTCTCTCCATGCTAGGCGATGGCACTGGAGGGCAACCCCACCAACATCATCACAGACTATGTGCTCAAGGTGAGGCTCATGGGGTGGTGGTGAGCATGGTGGTGAGCATGGTGGTGCGGTGAGGCTATGTGCTCATTGTGAGCAGGCAGCATATTATTTCTCATGCTCATGGTGATGACAGACAGGATAGGTGGTAGCATGTTTAGAAATTATCAGGTGTAAAGGTTTCTGAAACGAGCTATTTCTCAGACTGTCTTACAGTTATGCCACGTGGTCAGGTAATGGGAGAGTGCTTAACATGCCGCAAATTGAACTCACTCTCCCTGCTCCCACCGCTTCCCCCCCCCACTTCCCTCTCCCCCACGTGTCAGATTCTAGGCTTGGACATCTGTGCAGATACTGTGGTAGGGAATAACATGCTGCGCGGCATCTCAGGCGGGCAGAGGAAGCGCGTGACCACAGGCGTGGCGCTGGTGGGCGGGCAGCAGGTGCTGCTGATGGACGAGATCAGCACGGGCCTCGACTCCTCCACCACCTTCCTCATCACGCTCTGCCTGCGCCACCTCACGCACCTCCACGCCGCCACCACGCTCGTGGCTCTCCTCCAGCCTGCCCCCGAGACCTACGAGCTCTTTGACGACGTGCTGCTGCTCTCCGAGGGCCACGTCGTCTTCCACGGGCCCCGAGAGCAGGTGGTGCCGTTTTTCAACCAGCTGGGCTTTGAGTGCCCCGAGAGGAAAGGCGAGGCGGATTTCCTGTAGGAGGTGACTTCTATGAAGGACCAGGGGCAGTACTGGAAGGGGGGAGTGGCTGGGGCAGATGGTGGGGTGGGCGGGAAAAGCCAGCCGTACCACTATGTGCCGGTGCAGGCGTTTGAGGCGGCATTCAAGGAGACGCAGATCGGCAAGGCCACTGCTGCCCACCTCTCGGTGCGTACCGATTGCTGATTTGCGCACATAATTCTCCTCCTTAGCCCCATGCTTGTCCCTTAGTCCCACGATTGTCCCTCAGCCCCACAGCTTTGGCACTCCTGCCACCCTTATTAACCCCCCCACTCCTATTTCCCCATCCTTCATCCCCCATCCCCTCCCCCAACAGGTGCCCTTCCCAAAAGAAAAGAGCCCTCCAGGTGCACTGGTGCATAAGCGCTACGCTCTCCCCACCTCAGAGAAGTTCCGCGCAGTCTTCGCGCGCGAGTATCTGCTTATGCGCGCAACCCCCATCTCCCATCCCACCTTATCCCCCCACCAGGTGCCCTACCCCAAGGAGAAGAGCCCCCCCGGCGCACTCGTCCACAAGCGCCACACCCTCCCAACCTCCGAGATGTTCCGCGCAGTCTTCGCGCGCGAGTTTCTTCTCATGCAGCGCAACTCCATCCTCTACGCAGCCCAAACCATCCAAATCATCCTTGTAGCTCTCGTCGCCATGACCGCCTTCTTCCGCACCACGCTCACCGTCTCCCTGCAAGACGCCAACTACTACCTCGGAGCCACATTCTTCGGTGTGGTCATGATGCTCTTCAATGGATTCACGGAGCTCCCGCTGGTCAACTTCCGCCTGCCGGTGTTCTACCGCCAGAGGGACGCGTTTCTGTACCCCGCGTGGGCGTGGGCCGTGCCTCTCGAGCTGCTCTCCATGCCCTTCTCCGCGTGGGCGTCCATCATCTGGACCACCTTTACGTACTATGGCATTGGCTTCGCACCCGAACCGGGCAGGTGAGTGGATGAAGTGGGTGAATCAAGTAATGAGTGGACGAACCGGGCGGGTGAGTGGACGAACCGGGCGGGTGAGTGGACGAACCGGGCGGTTGAGTGGACGAACCGGGCGGGTGAGTGGACGCACCGGGCGGGTGAGTGGACGCACCGGGCGGGTGAGTGGACGAACCGGGCGGGTGAGTGGACAAACCGGGCAGTTAAGTGCAATATTGGCCAGGTGGTTGGGTGCTGAGTTCGTTTCCGCTATTCTCATGGTCCTTTCCTCCCTCACCCACCGTCATGTTCCTCACACACCTTGCTCGTTCCCTTCCCTCCCCCCCTCCTTTTTCCCATCCTCTCCCACAGCTTCTTAACACATGCAGCTTCTTGCCGTTGATCTTCTTTTCCATCCACTCCATCTTCTCGTCATCCATCCTCCCGTATTCCCGTCTCCTTCCTCCGCTCCCCCTCCACCCCCCACTGCAGTTTCGCCGTGCAGATGCTGCTCTTCTTCCTCATCCACCAGCTCTCATTCTCCGCCTCATAGGGGCGCTGGGCCGCAACATGGTGGTCTCCACAACCTTTGCCTCCTTCCTTTTCCCCTCCCCCCCTTTTGCCCTCCTCCCACTGCAGGTTCTTCATGCAGATGCTGCTCTTCTTCCTCATCCACCAGGTCTCCATCTCCCTCTTCCGCCTCATAGGAGCGGTGGGCCGCAGCATGGTGGTTTCCACCACCTTTGGCTCATTCGCCGACATCCTCTTCGTCCTCATGGGCGGCTTCGTCATCGCAAAAGGTGCGTGAGACGCTCTTATAGCGCACCCTTGTCATAAGTATGCATAACACATGTATCCATGGCACGTGTATTCCGCACCACTCTCCACTCAATCCTCTCCCCCCCTTCCCACCTCCTCTCCACCTCTCCCTCCTCTCCCCTCTTATACAGCCGACATCAGCAACGTGTGGATCTGGGCGTATTGGCTCTCGCCTCTCATGTACGCGCAGAACGCCCTCGCTGTCAACGAGTTCCTCGCCCCCCGCTGGAACGTCGTGAGTGCTCCTGGGATTCCCATCCCCTCGGCTACTAGTGCTGGCACGTGGGGTTCCCATCTGCAACTGCTGGCATGCACACCCACACACACACACACACACACACCCACCCCCCCACACACCCACACACCCACCCACACACACACACACACACACACACCCACCCACACACACACACCCACCCACACACCCACCCTACACACACACACACACACACACACACACACACACACACACACACACACACACACACACACACACACACACACACACACACACACACACACACACACACACACACACACACACACACACACACACACACACACACACACACACACACACACACACACACACACACACACACACACACACACACACACACACACACACACACACACACACACACACACACACACACACACACACACACACACACACACACACACACACACACACACACACACACACACACACACACACACACACACACACACACACACACACACACACACACACACACACACACACACACACACACACACACACACACACACACACACACACACACACACACACACACACACACACACACACACACACACACACACACACACACACACACACACACACACACACACACACATACACACACACACACACACACACACACACACACACACACACACACACACACACACACACACACGTGTGCGCCAAGCCATGTGTGCGCCTGCAGCCTTGTGTGCAGTCTGCAGCTCCACGCATGTCCCTCTCGGCCACCATGGCCCACATGATGCTACAGAGCTGCTCATGTTTCCTCATCGCCCCTCCTATCCGCGCTCCTTGTGTTAACCCTTGTCTGTACCCCCTCTGCAGTCCGCAGGGCCGCTCTTCCCCTCCTCAGCCACCATGGGGCAGGTTTTGCTGGAGAGCCGCTCGATCCCAGCGGATGGCAAGTGGGCCGGCATTGGCGTGGCGGCACTCATCGGCTACATCCTGCTCTTCAACCTCCTCACTGTTGCCGCGCTCGCCTATCTTGATCGTAAGCTTTCAACACTGACTCTCCTCGTTTGAGCAGTCTGGCTCCATCCTACTCCTACAACCTCCTCACCTTGCTCGCCCTTGCTTCTCTTCGTTGTATAAGCTGTGAACCTCCCATGCTTGTGGTGGTGCTGCTGCTGCTATGCCCTCGGTGATTCTCCACTCGGCTCTCTTGCCACAGGCTTCCGGCTTGGGCCACACTCGCATCAACCACTCACCCCAACGCACCCACTCACCCTGAGCCCTTGATCTCTTATGCTGCTCTCTCTCCTGTGCGCCTCTCCCTGCCAGTGTGCAGCGTGGGACCGGCCGGCCGCAGCCGGTGGTGTCGGAGGAGCAGATAGAGGCGAAGCATGCCGTCCCCCCCATTATTGCTTGCTTCTCTCTTGCCCTCTCACCCCCCTTTCCCCCCCTCCAACCACCCCCTTTTGACTGCGCATCGTTGCAGCATGGGACCAGCCGCAACCGGTGGTGTCGGAGGAGCAAATAGGTGCGAAGCACACCTTCCTTGCCCTCTCTCACCTCTCCCCCCGCCTCCCATCCCCCATTTTTTTACTGTTCACCTCGGCAGCGTGGGACCGGCCACAGCCAGTGGTGTCGGAGGAGCAGATAGAGGCGAAGCACACCGCCCGTACGGGCGAGGTGGTGGTTGCAGCGGGCGGCAACAGGAAGCGGTCCACCCGGCAGGATGCTGGCAGTGCTCTGGACCGCTACTGCACCAGCCACACAGGGGCCAAAGGTAAGGGGTTGTAGAGGTCTAGGTAGAGGTGAATGTGAGTGGTGTTGAGTGTCCTGGATCAGCTTCAAAACCGCTCCACGCACCTCTTTGGCCCCCTTCCAGACGTGGAGTCACAGCCCGAGTCCACGGAGGGCAAGCACGGCATGGTACTGCCGTTCGCGCCGCACTCGCTCTCCTTCCACAACGTCAACTACTTCGTCGACATGCCCGCCGAGATGCGCGCCGAGGGCGCCCCCCCCGACGCGCGCCTGCAGCTGCTGCGCAACGTGTCGGGCGCCTTCCGCCCCAAAGTGCTGACAGCGCTGGTGGGCGTGTCGGGCGCGGGCAAGACGACGCTCATGGACGTGCTGGCGGGGAGGAAAACTGGCGGGTATATTGAGGGGGACGTGCGCGTGTCGGGCTTCCCCAAGGTGCACTCCACGTTTGCACGCGTGGCGGGGTACTGCGAGCAGAGCGACATTCACACGCCGCAGGTGACGGTGCACGAGAGCCTGCTCTTCTCCGCGTGGCTGCGCCTGCCGGCAGATGTGGACGTGGAGGTGAGGGAGGAGTTTGTGGAGGAGGTGATGGAGTTGGTGGAGCTTGATAGTCTGCGCGACGCCATGGTGGGGCTGCCGGGGGTCAATGGGCTCTCCACGGAGCAGCGCAAGCGCCTCACCATTGCCGTCGAGCTCGTCGCCAACCCCTCCATCATCTTCCTCGATGAGCCCACCAGCGGGCTCAATGCACGGGCAGCGGCCATTGTGATGCGCACCGTGCGCAACACGGTGGACACGGGGCGCACGGTGGTGTGCACCATTCACCAGCCCAGCATCGACATCTTTGAGGCCTTTGATGAGGTGCGTGCGATGGAAGTTGGTGGCCCTCAAGTGCATCAGTTTATTTCTCACTTGCACTTCCATCCAACTCTCCATCTCGCCCCTCCCTTTCTCGTGTTGTTCTCGTGTTGTTTCTTGATTCTATGGTGTTTTTTCCCTCCCTTTCTAATTCTTCCCTCCCTCTCTTCTCCTCCCATCCCCCCACCCCTCTGCCCCACAGTTGCTGCTGATGAAGCGGGGAGGCGAGGTGATATACATGGGCCCCTTGGGCACGGACTCGCGGCTCATGATAGACTACTTCCAGGCCATTCCAGGCGTGCCGCCCCTCCCCGCCGGCTACAACCCAGCCACGTGGATGCTCGACATCTCCACGCCCGCCATGGCCGACAAACTCAACCTCGACTTTGCCGACATCTTCCGCAAATCAGACCAGTTCCGCCGCAACGAGGCGCTCATCGAGTCGCTCAAGACGCCCCCGCCAGGCCAGCAGGACCTCGCCTTCGCCACTCAGTACGCCCGGAGCTACGCATCGCAGTACACTGCCAACCTGTGGAAGCGCGCGCACATGTACTGGCGTGCGCCGGACTACAACGCGATGAGATACTTTTCCAGTGTTGTCATGGCGCTGCTGATCGGAGGCGTGTACTGCGGGCAGGGGCAGCAGCGCAGCACGCAGCAGCAGGTGCTGAACCTGATGGGCGCCATGTACACGGCGGCCATCTTCATGGGGTGGAACAACTCTGCCTCCATCCAGCCCATCATCGCCGTCGAGCGCACCGTCTTTTACCGCGAGCGCGCCGCAGGGCTGTATGGTGCCATCCCGTACGCCCTGGCGCAGGGGGCGATCGAGGTGCCGTATGTGTTGGTGCAGACGTTCATCTACTCGCTGATCACGTACGCGATGATCCAGTTTGAGTGGACGGCCGGCAAGTTCTGGTGGTACACGCTCTTCATGTTCCTCACGCTCTTCTACTTCACGTGCTACGGCCTCATGGCCATCGCCATCTCGCCCAACGAGCAGATCTCCATGGTCTTCTCTAGCTTCTGCGTCTCCTCCTGGAACCTGCTTTGCGGTTTCCTCATTGCGCGACCCGTGAGTGCTTTCTCATCCCTCAGCTCTCTGTTGCCTGCTGTGCTTCCATCCACTGCCATGTGCTTCCATCCACTGCCATGTCCATATTTTGCTTCTCCCTCGTCCTTCCAGTATAAATGTTGCTTCCTAGGAAGTGCCACCTAGTTCACGTGAATTAAGCCATCCATTTGCAACCCTCGCCTGCCCCCATGCACTGCAGCACATTCCGGTGTGGTGGCGGTGGGCCTACTGGATCGACCCCATCTCCTGGACCCTCTATGGCCTCAACGCCTCACAGGTGATGCCCCTTGCTCCACAAGCGCTGCACACACGCTGCACACGCGCTGCACACACTCTGCACACACGCTGCACAAAAGCTGCACAAGTGCTGCGCACATGGTGCATACACACTTGGCTTGGTTATTCTTGGTCCTACTTTGCAGCATCCAACTGCTTAACATGCATGCAGCACACGCTGACATGCCGAGCTGCTCATGAGTTGACTTTTGAGTCTACTCAAAAGTGAACATGCTTTCATGCCGAGCTGCTCATGAGTTGACTTTTGAGTCTACTCAAAAGTGAACATGCTTTCATGCCGAGCTGCTCATGAGTTGACTTTCAAGTCTACTCAAAAGTGAACATGCTTTCATGCCGAGCTGCTCATGAGTTGACTTTTGAGTCTACTCAAAAGTGAACATGCTTTCATGCCGAGCTGCTCATGAGTTGACTTTTGAGTCTACTCAAAAGTGAACATGCTTTCATGCCGAGCTGCTCATGAGTTGACTTTTAAGTCTACTCAAAAGTGAACATGCTTTCATGCCGAGCTGCTCATGAGTTGACTTTTAAGTCTACTCAAAAGTGAACATGCTTTCATGCCGAGCTGCTCATGAGTTGACTTTTAAGTCTACTCAAAAGTGAACATGCTTTCATGCCGAGCTGCTCATGAGTTGACTTTTAAGTCTACTCAAAAGTGAACATGCTTTCATGCCGAGCTGCTCATGAGTTGACTTTTAAGTCTACTCAAAAGTGAACATGCTTTCATGCCGAGCTGCTCATGAGTTGACTTTTAAGTCTACTCAAAAGTGAACATGCTTTCATGCCGAGCTGCTCATGAGTTGACTTTTAAGTCTACTCAAAAGTGAACATGCTTTCATGCCGAGCTGCTCATGAGTTGACTTTTAAGTCTACTCAAAAGTGAACATGCTTTCATGCCGAGCTGCTCATGAGTTGACTTTTAAGTCTACTCAAAAGTGAACATGCTTTCATGCCGAGCTGCTCATGAGTTGACTTTTAAGTCTACTCAAAGTCAACACGCTTAGGGCATGTTCCTACGCTCTTATCAGGCAAACCTCTTGTCAGCCTTGCCTGGTAAAAGTAGCGAGGGTTTTGGGGTTTAGGGGCCGTAGGAACATGCCCTTACATGCCGAGCTGCTCATGAGTTGACTTTTGAGTCTATTCAAAAGTCAACACGCTTACATGCTGAGCTGCTCATGAGTTGCCTTTTGAGTCCACTCAAAAGTCAACACGCTTACGTGCGGAGCTGCCCATGAGTTGACTTTTGAGTCTATTCAGAAATCAACACGCTTACATGCTGAGCTGCTCATGAGTCGACTTTTGAGTCTATTCAAAAGTCAACACGCTTACATGCCGAGCTGCTCATGAGTTGACTTTTGAGTCTATTCAAAAGTCAACATGCTTACATGCCGAGCTGCTCATGAGTTGACTTTTTGAGTCCACTCAAAAGTCAACACGTTTACATGCGGAGCTGCAAATGCTGCTCATGCTGGACTGCACACTGCACTTTCCCTGCCATGTGCGCGCAGCCCCTGCATTGTTGTCCCCTGCATGAGTTCCCATGGCTGAATCCATGCTGCATCACTACTCACCTCTATCTTCCCCTTACCACCTCACCAACCTCAGCCTTTCTTCAATCACTCTGCACTGCCAGCCCTCCTAGCTTGCTCCATGCACAGCCCGCTCATCCCCCCTCCCCCTCTTCTTTCCTCCCTCTGCCCCCCGCTCCCTCCCGTGACCCCTTCCAACTACAGCTGGGAGATGTGACGACGACCCTGCAGGTGCCAGGGGTGACCCCGGACCCAACGGTGCAGGTGTATCTGGAGGAGGTGTTTGGCTACCAGCACTCGTGGCTCGGCTATGTTGTGCTTGTCAACATCGGATTCATCATCCTCTTCTTTACCGTCTTCGCTTTCTCAATCAAGAAGCTTAACTTCCAAAACCGCTAATGTTGTATTGCAAAGAAGTGTGTTTTGTAGATGGTTTGTTGGTGTTGTTTTGTTTTGTTTGTTTCATTTTTTTTTCCTTCTTTTGAGACTTGGTGGTTTTGTTGAGTTGTCAGCCGAAACGTACTGTGAGGTGTGCACTGTATTGCACAACCTTTTACATGCTTCTCTAATCTAGAGACAAGTCAACAACACCTGCTGGGAACAAGAGATTTAAGCGCTTCTGCTGTGTCGAAACACCAAGTCGTAAACGAAGCGAAGCACAAACGAAACATCGGCGAGTCAACCATCGGAGGTTGAAGACTGAAGTAACTGCTATGTAAGAATGTGATGTTTGTCTAGCCTGCAGTGGGGTACTCTATAGCGAGTACAGCTCGAATTAGGGTTTGCTATATGTACTCAACTGCCTGCTAGTGGAAACCCTTCTTTCCTGTTTCTAGCTTGTTGTGCCTGCTATTCCGACATGCTATCATAGCAGGTCGACCCTCCATGGTCGATCCTGTGGATGGGCCCACCGTTAGCTTCCGCTGCTGTCCTGCCTATCGCACGCCTCGGGCGCGCGTCGTTTTCTGCCTGCCGCGCGCTCGGGGCGCGCGGCGTTTTATTTTTCTTCCCGTTGCGCGCTCGGAGCGCGCGGCGGTTTTCTGCCCTGCCCGCCGCGCGCCCCGGGAGCACGCGGCAGTTTCCTGCCCCGTCGACCCGCGCGTCGCCCCCGTCGCCCGCCGCCGCACCCCCGGAGACCCGCATGTCGCCCCCGTCGCCCGTGTTAGAATCTAGAATAGAACGAGAATGATGAAACTAGGAATGATGGGGATACAAGTAAGCAACCATAGCAAAGTTGTACCCCCTAAGGCTAAACCCACTATAGCCTACACAACATAAACATATAATGTTTGACACACCCCCATAGGCTAAGTGGGAGACAACCAGATGGTCACAAGACCAGTCAAAGTAAAGCAAAGCAAGTTCAGGGTGGATCTCAAGGAAACCACACAAATTCTGAGCACAAGCAAGTGGTCACAAGACCAGTTCACATGCAGGTTGATAATATAACAAGAGATACAGTGATCACAACCTAGCAAGAGCAGGCATGCAGGTATATATATAGAGATCACAGTAAAAGCAGAGTCAAGAAGTAAGCAAGTGAGGACCAGTAGGCACAAGGCCTAGAACAGTACAGGAGCGCTGACGGTCACAAGGCTGAAGCGCCTTGGTGAACACATCAGCAGTGTTGGCCCGAGTGGCCACGTAACGCAGACGAAGCTGACCGCGCTGCTGCAGCTCTCGAGCAAGGAACTAGCGCAGAGCGATATGCTTCGTCCTGTGCTCCAGTCTGTGCTCCTCACACAAGGCAATGGCAGCCTTGTTGTCGACGTACAGTATTGGAGGAGAACGAGGCCGCTCTCCCAAGTCGGTCAGCAGGTAGGTGAGCCAGCGTAGCTCCTGTGCAGCCATGGCTATGGCGTAGATCTCAGCATCACAACTGGAGCTGAGAATAGAAGACGAGCGTGTAGAACGCCAAGAAACTGAACCAGAGCCAAGGCTGAAGGTGTAACCCTGAGACGACCGCTGAGTAGCCTGGTCGTGAGCCCAAGAAGCGTCTGAGTGCCCAGTAAGTACAACTCAGTCTCGTCCTCCAAGCACTAGCCCCATGCCCGACGTACTACACAAGTAGCGCAACACCCTCTTAGCGGCATCCATGTGCTCCTTTCGGTGACGGCCAGGAGCGACATAGCGTGCAAGGATGCTAAGAGGGTATGCAAGGTCAGGTCGAGTGCAGGTCATCAGGTACATGAGGCAGCCCACAAGCTCTGGATACGGGCCACTCGGGCTACGGACTCATCCGAAGGCAGAGCTGAGAGCGAGTGACCGGTAGGCAAAGGAGTGGCCTGAGGCGAGGAGTACGTGAAGCGGAAGCGCTGAAGGACCTGCTGCACCATGTGTGACTGAGTCAAGGTGATGGTGCGCCGTGCTCTGTCCTGGGTGATCCGCAAGCCAAGATAGCTTGTCAGTTCACCCAGGTCTGTGCACGTGTGTCTCTTATGCAGCTCTAGCTTCACGTGGGCGAGTGCCGCAGTGTCAGCAGTGGCAAAGACCAAGTCGTCGACGTACACGAGGATGTAGAACGGCGGCAGCGAAGTGTCGGTGCGCAGAAACAGCGACGGGTCGGCAGTAGAAGGAGCGAACCCAAGAGCCGCAAGTGTAGTCCTCAGTGTGTCGTGCCACTCACGCGGCGCCTGGCGAAGACCGTAGACTGGCTGCCGGAGGCTCCACTGGGTACCAGGAGGGAACGACCCAGTGAAGCCAGGTGGGCGGTGCAGCCAGATCTCCTCGTGCAGGCTGCCCTGTAGGAAAGCAGTGCTGAAGTCAAGAGAGTGGAGCTCGTAGTCACGCTGAGCGGCAACGTGCAGCAGAACCCGAAGAGTGGTCATCTTCGGGGTCGGGGAGAAGGTCTGGAAGAAGTCAACTCCCTCTCGCTGACTGAAGCCTCGTGCAACGTAACGCGCCTTGAAGACAGGCGGAGAACCCGGCGGCCGCTTCACCCTGAAAATCCACATGCCACTGACGATGTTCGCCCCAGGTGGGGGAACCTCGTCGGCGTAGGTGCCTATGGACTTCCAGGAAGCCATCTCTGTGTCCATGGCTGCCTGCCACTGAGAGGATTACTCACCCGCGATCGCCTCAGCGTAAGAGCGCGGGGTCGGGATGTCTGGAGCATCCGGGTCTCCCTCAGGTGCAACAAGCATGGACACCAGATGAGGTAAAGCAGCGGCAAAGCACTCAAACTCCTCCTGCCTGTCCTCAAGGACGTCCGTGCCAAGAGCACACTCACCCCCGACGATCGGAGGACAGACAGACTCAGACTCAGACTCAGCGACAAGGCTAGCGGCGTAGTCGAGACGAGAAGCGGAAGCAAAGTCAACTAACTCAGCGACTAGAGCAGACGCATCAGAGGTCTCAAAGGAAGGGTTAGTGACAACAGTGGCGAGGAGACGTGTGACAGTAGGACTGGCAGCACGAAGGGAGTCAGACTCCGGGTCAGCAAGAGCAGGAAGAGAGGACGCAGGAGGTGACGCCAGGGGGACGCGCTGAGGAGCAGAGGAAGGACGAAGCGCCATCTGGTGAGTGCCTGGGACAGCAGGAGGACGCTGACGAGGGACACGACGACCAGTGTGAGCAGCACGAACAGGCGACGCACGACGAGACTCGGGCAACGCAGGACGAGACTCAGGCTTACAACGCTCTGTAAGACCTCCAGTCGGACCAGTGTAAGGAGAAGGACCAGGGACTGGTAAGGCAGGAGGTAACTGTGACTGCGACTGGACTGGCGGAAGACACTCTAAGGAGGGAGCAGGACAGGGAGGAGGCGACTGACCAAGAACCTGCTGAAGGAGTAGAACGAAGTACGGCTGCGGCCGCGTAGCGCCGCCAGAACCATCAGAGAGACCACCTGTAGGCTCAGCTCTAGGGTCTCCAGCTACAGCGCCCGCAGGACCACCAGTAGCTCCAGCAGCGCCAGCACCTCCAGCACCAGCAGCAGCTCCAACTCCAGGGTCCGCAGCACCAGCAGCATCTCCAACGCCCGGGTCCTCACCACCAGCAGCAGCTCCAACTCCAGGGTCCGCAGCACCAGCAGCACCTCCAGTAGTAGCAGCACCTCCAGCAGCCCCAGCTCCAGCAGCACCTCCAGCAGCTCCAGCAGCACCAGCAGCAACTCCAGCAGCGTCAACAGCACCAGCAGCACCTCCAGTAGTAGCAGCACCTCCAGCAGCTCCAGCAGCACCAGCACCAGCAGCACCTCCAGCAGCTCCAGCAGCACCAGCAGCAACGCCTGCAGCAGCACCTCCAGCAGCTCCAGCACCAGCAGCACCTCCAGTAGCGCCAGCAGCACCGCCAGCAGCAGCAGCACCTCCAGCACCAGGGTCCGCGTCACTAGGAGCGCCACTCCGGAGACTGCAGCGCCGAGCGTACCACTCTCGGAGCCGCTGGGGAGAGGGCAGCTCTCGCCTAGGAGGGGAAGCACTAGCACCAGCTCCAGCAGCAGTCCTAGCTCCAGAAGCACCTGTCTTGAGGCTGCAGTACTCTAAGTACCACTCACGCAGCTGCTGTGAGGAGAGAGTTCCTCCAGGAGTAGCACTCCAAGGCTCAGCACCTCCTGACTCAGCATCCCCAGACTCAGCACCCGCAGGCTCCGCACCCCCAGGCTCAGCACCCCCAGACTCCGCAACCCTAGGCTCCGCACCCCCAGGCTCCGCACCCCCAGGCTCCGCACGCTCAGGCTCAGCACCCCTAGCAGGACGAGAGTCGACAACTACCTTGACAGGCTCAACCGGGTCTACCTGGGACACACCTGAGGGAGCGGCACCCTGAGGGGGGGGGGGGGGGGTCTACCACAGCAGCACCTGGCGCGAGGAAGAGAGGCGGGGGGGGGAGCGGGGCAGTGCGGTAGGGGAAGAGGCGGTAGTAGGGCACCGCCTTGTCAAAAGTGACGTCCTGAGAGGGCACGACACGGCGCGAGGTGGCGTGGTAAAACTGCCAACCAGACGCGTCCGCGACAAAGCCAAGGAAGACACAAGGAACAGCGCGGGAGGAGAGCTTGTCCGCGGACGTATCGCGGACAAAAGCTCGAGATCCCCAGACCCGGAAACGCGACGCATCGCCAACCTCCCCCGTCCACAGCAGTGTGGGCGAGGTCTCCGTCAAGGAGACACGGGGCCAGAGGTTGAGCTGATGCGCAGCGTACCAGACCGCAAACGACCACAGAAAGTGGGGGGCAGCCGCATGGATCAGGGAGGTACGAGCGACCTCCATGACCAAGCCAATGCGGCGCTCAGCAACCCCATTTTTCTGTGGAGAGGCCGGAAGCGTGAAGGACTGGCGGATGCCGTGCTCCGCACAGTAGGCTGCCAAGAGGTCGGAGGAGAACTCACCACCTCTGTCAGAGTGCAGACGCAAGACAGGAAAGTCTGAGTGGAACCGCTTGCTGAGCTGGAGACGAGAAG